ACGTTTCGGGAAGGGTCTAGGCCCGAAACGTCAGCCTCTCTGCTCCTATGATGCTGCTTGGCCTGCTGTGTTCATCCAGCCCTGCACCTTGTTGTCTCGGATTCTCCAGCATCTGCAGTTCCTACTATCTCTTGTTGTGAATGATGGTCTGTTTAAGGTTTGGCAGCTGTTTGAAAGCGAGAAATGAAGATGTGGGGAAGATCTTGGTGAGGTGCTCAACATCATCAATGACATGTTGAAGGCTGCAAAGAACATGGCATAGTTTCTCCGTTCTGGGGAAGTACTGGAAGATGAAGGGTACTCTATCGATTGTATCCAGTGTCTGTCTTCTAAAGAAATTGTTGCAGTTTTTCACTGTGGCACGTTGGAGCTGGGATCGATGAGTTGAGCATTGTATCCTGTTCTTATGAGGGCATCTTTCAAAATCTTCAAGTGTCCGAAAATTCCTCCTCATCTGAGCAGATCCTGTGTCACAGTCAGTCAGTGTGACATCTTATAAATTCCTGCTTTCGGAATAAAACCGGCCTGATTCCGGGTTAAAATCTGAGACAGATTCTGAACAAGGCCTCACACTTACAATTCAGTATCTGACCTGAGATGTCACCTTTCGTATATTCCTACGGCTCTGCGTGATTGTCATGACAGCACAGCGCTGACACTGACTTTATAAACGCTTTACTCACCGTCTAACACTCTTGGTCACTTGCAGAGACTTATTATCTGACATTCCACTCACACCAGTTGTATGATCTTTTGATCTCTCAGCCCTCGATCTCTTTGCTTATAAAACCCTGTGTCTGTATGTGCTCCTCTCTCACTGCACCTGACGAAGGGGCTGTGCTCCGAAAGCTGGTTTGATTTCAAATAAACCTGTTGGACTATAATCTGGTGCCGTGCGACTTCTGACTTTGTCCCCCACTGTTCAACACAAGCACCTCCACATCATGACACATGCATTCAGGGATTTGTCTTACCCTCAAACAGACAGTCTGACACCTGGTAATCTGGGTAAAATACACACCATACAATAGATAAGGATTGGTGCATCATGACTATTGCCAGGGAAACTGAGCACAGTTCTGCCTGATGCACTGTCAGTATTTGTACGTTTGTTGTGAAAAATGTCGGGTTCTTTGGATGGAGCATACAAAAGCTACATGGATACAATCGATTATGTGGTGAATTTGTTGACAGCCTTTAATCAAAGCTTTTTCCTTGTTTTACTGCTGCCATGGGGATCTTGATTAATTTGTGCCATTTAGCGATGGGGGCATGTGATGCAACATTCAACTGGAAATGGATACATAATTGCTGATGCCACTTGCTGCAGTGTGGAATGGTTCTGTGGTGCGGTCATTGAGAGCTGCAGTTACCTTTATAGCCACTACCAAGAATGCTATACCTTCATGGTGTTCTGCAGTTGTTGCTGCAAAGGTGCCTTAGCTAAGTCAAAGTCTCTCTAGTGAAGCAGTGCTGCCAGGATTAATGCTTTTCTTAAATGGCGTTAGGATGTTTAACTGTAAGACTCACACTGAGAGTCGGTGTGGACTTGTTGGGCCGAAGGGCCTGTTTCAACTCTGTAGGGATTCTATGATCTATGTGACATATACCTCCCGTACCCTCCTCTCTTTCACCCTCTTCTGTCAATGCTGCAGACCTCTCCCACATTCTCACCAGTAGACCACACAGCACACAGGTTATGTGGAGCCCCTGCACAGAGTTAAGACTTGTGCCTCCTAAAATGTCACTCCCTAAACCCACATCCAGAGAGCTCCATGAGCCAACAAAATTAAATATGAGGCCTATAATTCCAGGAGCAACCTGCAAAATCTAGCTCGAAGCTTATCTGGCTGGAACAAAGATCCCTCTAAATAATACTGGCGCAGCTTATTATGTTATTGTTGGTCCCAAAAGTTCCTGGGTGGGCTGTATTCATTGTGACAACAGTTCAAATTGTTGTTACGGGGCTGAAGACTGGTGTAGTACCTTCAAATAATTTAATGCGGACTCCAGTTTCAGGTAGCCATCCAGAATAATTAAAATTTGCGCAGTCTGAAACGGCGATTAGAGACTCAGACGTTAGTGCATTATATTTTTTTTTCTTCAAGCTGTTAAAAGCAAGGATGGAATGAGGCTAAAAGTAGGTTTATCCTTTACTTTCTACCAACAAACAAGGTATTATATAACCAGTCAATAAATGCAAGAGTAAATCTGACTGAAGTTAATATCTTATTTAATTTACAAACATCAGTAGCATCACTGATATCAGTCAACATGTACAGCTAACTAGATGCAGAAAAAAAAACAAAGGAAACCAAATTGTATTTACACAGGCATTCCCAATCTTTAATTTGTAAAGAGCACAGCCCACCTACTTAAATTTAATCAACTCTAAATCTGTAGTTTAGCAGCAACAAGTTACTGTAGGAGAACAAACGGCTGACATGTAATTTCAATAGTCAAGAAAAGGAGACAATTCTGAATTTACAGTCAGTCAGGAAACTGAGGAACTCCAAACAATATCCTGATATGTAAAAACTTGTTCATCTGCCAGAAAACAGCATGTTTTAATTTACCTTTACTAAATTTCAGGGGAGAGGGATAAAGGGGAGGAGATTGAAAAAAAATCACTTCTATAACAAAAAAAATCTAGTTTGTCAAGGTAGGTTCAAATTCAGCAGAATTCACAAAATATACACTGGCTTGTTACATCTGACACCATTAGGCTGAGGTTATTTCCCAGGCTTTGTAAACCAAAGCAATGTCATTGGTCAAAAATACAGGAGACACAACTGATCAAAAAGATAACAAGACAATTCACCCCGAGAGGACATGCTAGATTGTTAGTTAGTCTATCTCCCCCCAAAAAATAAAAATAAAAAACTGCAATCTTTTTTTAATGTTTTTAACATACAAAAATATGAGGACGAAATATAAATTAATATATATTAAAGATTCAAAAATGGAGTGAAAGAGAAGATCTAGCAAAGTTAGGTACAAGTTTTTTGATACAATAAATACTTCGTAATGATATCTTGAATACTGCGTAAAACTCATTTCAAAAGAAAACCACAAAACTTTATCCAACTAAGTAATCCATACATCAATTCTCTATTGGTTGTATAGTCCCCATTTATAATTATATTACAAAGAATTAATACTGGAAACAAAGCTTGCTAAAACACTTTGTAAGCTCAAATATGCTAATGTACACATTATACTGGGGAAAAAAAGATAACTGTCCACATATTCAAGATGTGAAATGACAGCAGAAGTTCTGGCTTCTTCATCGGTACACATTCTTGATTCATGACCTTACAGCACAGTTACATCTGTGTCTCTGTATCAAAGATGAACTGATGTGACTTGCAGCTTGTTGTTTTCTTTAAATGGACATCACTCACTTTCAGTGGCATTCTCCTCCTTTGGACTTCACTTTTGCTGTCCATTGGATGTCAAAATATTGAAAAGTTCTTTTTGCCAAGTCAGGAAAAGTCAAAATCCAGTCCAAAATGGTTTGGCTTCTGACAAACATTTTATACGTGTTGCAATAACTTTCAGTCAAAAAGACTTGAAATATTTTTGTAAATGAAGAAAATAGTCATTTTCTGATAATAAAAATACGTCTGTTCTGTATTTTACAATATAATTCAAATATCTCCACCACGGAAGCAAAAATACGTCCCACACAGTCACCAGGTGCACATTGTTTTGAAAAAGGGCAAGCATTTGAAACTTCTACAAAGAACATTGCAAGCAGCCGCATTTCACGACTTTTTCCACCTCCTCCACAAATGAAGAGCCGTCAGTGCATTCAAAACTGTATTTCCGTCGCTTGCTCCTCAGAGGACCACAGCACTGTCCGTTGTCACATCCACCTCTACACTCTAACCGCGAGACCTTTTTGGTTGTTTGGCAAGCGGCATAGCCTTGCTGCTTCTGGTAGTAATCTCGGATTCGTTCCCCTCTACAGGAAATTTCTGTAAGTGAGAATAAAAGAATCATTACTTCTGGTTTGCTTCTAGCAAATGACACCATCCTCGTAGGATGTTTAGCTTCTTGGGCAGTGCATCCGGAATTAAAAACTAGTGACCATGAAGCTACAAGATTGTTGTAAAAATCCATCAGGTTCACTGATGACCTTTAAGGAAGGAAACCTGTCTCCTTACCTAGAGCGCCAGTTTCGGTGCTGAGGGAACCAGAAAGGTGGAGAAACCTACTTGATCAATCTACTTGGCAACATATGTATCCGCCCATGATAGTATTGGCAGGAGTGACCTGTGTACAGTTCATGAGAAGATGGAGTCTCCTCTTCACACTGAGGATACTATCCATCCTGTTGAGTGGCTCTACCAGTGTACCAAATGAGATTGGTTCAGAATTGATTTAAACACTCCAAATTAGGTCTCTGTGATGGACTGTGGGCCACCGGTGCAAAGAGTTGTACTAAATCACAATTTGTAATCTTATTCTCCGGCATATCTTTCACACTCCTACGATTATCAAGCCAAGGGATCAACCCTTGTTCAAAGAGTAGAAGAGAGTTCCTCAGGGGCAGCACCAGGCTTGGTGTCAGCCTGGATGAAAATGTAACATAGTACCACAGACATGTTAAACAGAAGAAGCAACATACTGCAGAGATAGCTATGAGATCTCACAACACAGGAACCAGATTAATATTCTGTGGCCTTGCCACATCTTGTCATAAATTACACTACACACACAAACAACTAACTGGAGGAGGAGGTTCCTTAAATTTTTCTGTTCTCAACAAAGGGGCAGCCCGGACTATCAGTGCAAAAGACAAAGCATTTGCAACCATCCTTAACGAGAAGTGCGGAGTGGATGATCAGTTTTACTGACATTTCCAGAAGGTTCAGGATTTCTCTAGGTTCAGGATGCTTTCTATTTATGGCCAGTTATATGTTAGGGAGCACTAATTTGCAATCATACTTGAAACAATTCTTTAAAACTACAATTAACCTGTAAACAAAGGTATCTTCACACTTGTAGAAATACGTCAGTCACTGAAAATGAATTCATACCTAGTTTCTCCCACTTATGAGGAAAAGTTTCATAACTTTGATACTTAATTTCTTCTTCATTTGTGGAATAAAACCCAGTAATATTGTTGCCTCTTGCAGAATGCTCTTAATATTTATATTTGCATTTTGGTACATAGCATTGCATTTCTATCAAACATATTTTGCATGTACTAAAACAGCAGTAAATACCATCATAACCAGAGACTGAAAACACAGTGCTTTATGACAAAGAAAATCTGCAGCTTCATATTTATGTCAAGAATGATGAGCGCAAGCTCCCTTAGCACTTCAATTTTTACATAAATTTTTATGGGTACAAAAGAATTGATTTTTGTACCAACCTTATTTATATATTGACTGTGTCTTCAGTTATCTAGTGCAGAAACATGAACCAGCAAGACATGGAAATAAACTGTTACTGACTGCATGCTTTGACACTCAAAACAACAGTAAGAAAATCACACTGCACAAGCTAAAAGAACTGGGAGAAGTTTTGAGTCAGGATCATGGAGAAGAATAGATTTTTATTGGATTCAAACAAGTGAAGAAGAAAGAATGAGGTTTTTAGAAAGAATAACTAGCAGGAAGAGAGAAAAAGAAATTATTCACCATTTTTCCCCATTTGTCTCACCTGCAAGAGGTGCTGTGATTGGTCAGTTGAAGCTGAGAGCTCAGAGGTAGAGTTTGTACTAGGGTTAAGTGCGGAATCATTGGATTTGGCTGCTCATTCCAGGAAGATATAGAAATGTTAAAGTGAGATAAACAGCAGTGAGGTTAAAGCTGATAAATTAAACCTATTTAATTGAAGGATTTTTAATTCATTTAATGAAAGCTCATTATACGAAAATGAATTAAACTGAGGCATATGAAAACACAAGCATTAGTAGCTGAAAGTGTAATCTAGGATACAATCATGCCATTGTCAGCATTCAGCACAATTCAGCTAGAGGTATACAGAAAGATCTGTGTTTATTCAAAAAGGAGGGAAGAAAACATACTTCATAGACATTCTTTCCCACACAGAAAAGAACAGCTACTTCTGAAAGAACCAACAGACTTCAGCTTGTGGGGTGTGGGATACAGTGAATGATGAGAAAAATTTATGTCATAGGCTTGTCATCATTTTTGAAGTATATAATTCTGTATTGATGTTCCACAAATTGCTTCATTATGCATAACATACAATGTAGGCATTTTTCTAGACAGAGGAAAGAAATAAGGCTCAAAAGTACAAAAGCAAAGAAAATAATTAATTTCTGCACTGGTTTCCTTTGCAATCTTAGCAGCACAGACATAAAGCAAGCAAATGATGCACTCCAAAATTAACTGTGGATTAAACTCACGACATTTCAGAAAATAAACTATGTTGAATAAAAATTATCAAAGCCATATTCAAAAACTTACTTAAAATGAACTGCCCATACCTTTGTCACAGTTCTCTCCAGTGTATCCACTATTACATTCACAGTAAGGTCTGCTAACAGCTGAAAGCCTACATTTTCCATGTTTACACCTGATGTTCTGACAGGGGTTAAAGAGCTCCTCTTCCTCATCACACAATACACTTTTGAAACCCATCTGGCACTTACAACTGTATGAGAAGGCATTGATGGGCACACAAATACCATGTACACACCTGAAAAAAGATTAAAATAAAATTAAATAATTAACAAATGAAATCAGTGCTTTTATCTTACAGTTGCTATTATACTTTCTCTCTTTCTGCCAATTCTTCAGATTGCAACTTTCTGTTACTCAAAGAGTAGACAAGCAAAATCAATTGGCCTGATAGAAAGTTTCACTTCCATACAATGGGCCATTCCTTGGTGGATTATGAAGTGACATAACTTAAGCAGATAAATTTGACTAACTGGCAGTTGTAAGAGTTGAACTGAAGATCCTCATGGTGGGAATCAACAAATTCAGGCTGCTGTTTTTCTTCTCAGCTACATTTCTTTTTACCTGTTCACCTGTGTGGAATGGTCTAGAGTGGAGGTAATGTGCTGGGACACAGCAGTATCACATAAATCCTTACCGCAATCCTGCAATACTAAGTTCTCAATGATGCTTAGGCTATTTTTTGAAAGTCCTGGGGCTTTAATTTCCTTGAAAATGCAAATCTTAATGCCTCATGTCCTGTTTTATCACTGTCATTATTCAATTTGAATTATGCAGAGAGCAATTTTACAAAATAAAGAAGTACACTGTAATAGAAAATTAAACTTCCAGGTGAGATACTTTTCCACATAAATCAGAAGCTGCCTTCTGCATACATGTTGATAGTGACTGATACAACAACAGCAAAGGCCACATTTAATCACAGAACACTACTGGTGAGTAGAACTTTAACAGTAAGGATACTTTTCCCAATGAAATATTTGTAAAATTCTCATTATTAAGTCCTGGATGCTGTAAAATTGCACTTAAGCTCTCTATTCATTAACAACAGTTGTTATGAATGCATAATAATTATTTTTCAACTGAAAAATGTCATTGTTAACAACATTGCATTCAAATAATGAGTGCTTAATTAATAGCACCCACACAAATCTTTCCGGCCAAAATCAACTACATTATTCAAACAGAGTTAGCTCCATTCCAGATGAAAGCCTCCAAAATCTAAATATCACAATTGTACTGTTTGTATGGCTACTATTGAGTTCAAACTAAAATGAAGTGTTTTTCTCTGCAATATAACTTGCTTATTTCATACAGATAGCCATTTAAGGATGAAAAGTGCCTATTTAATTGTCATTTTTAGATATATAAGTTTTGCAGTAGTTGGGGACAACATATCTTGAGTAAGACACAGCCAGACGTGTGTTTCTGGGGATTTGAACACAGTCGGAATTTGATGCAGAAAGGGAATAAAAGGCTTAGAATAATTGATATTGTTTGATATTAAGCATCTTCCAAAAGGTTTAGTTTAAAGGCCAAGTCATGGCAGAAGAGCTGAAAGCTGTAGAGTGCTCTTCCTGCTCTTTGTGGGAGTGCCCAGGGACAGCTTTTTGTGCAAGAAACCAATTTTGGAGCTGGAGATGCAGCTGGCAACACCGTGGAGCATCTGCAAGGTGGAGATTATTGTGGCTAGCATGGACAGAAAGGTGGTCACACTGCAGGCCAGGACTTCATCAGCAGGAAGGGAATGGGTAACTACCAGGCAAAGCAAGACGACAAGGCAGGCCATTAGGAGTCTCCTGTGGCTATTCCCCTGCAAGACAGATATACCCTTCTCGATGCTGTTAAAGGGAATGGCCTCTCAGGGAAAACATCAACAACCTAATTTCTTGAGCACAGTTGGCTCTTCTCCACAGGGAAAGAGTAAAAATGTGGGAATGCAATAGTTAAAGCAGACTCAATTGTAAGAGGAATAGGCAGGTGGTTCTGTGGCTGCAAACACAACTTCTTGATGGTATCTTGCATTCCCGATGCTAGGGTTAATATTGTCTTGGAGCAGCCACAAGACACTCTAGAGCTAATGGTTGCGATACATATCAGTCCAAACAACTTTGGTAAAAGAAAGGGAAATGGTCCTAAAAGCAGAATATTTAGGACTTAGGAAGTAAGTTGAAAAGTAGAACCTCAAAGGTAGAGGTTTCAGGATTACTACCAGTGCCACATGCTAGCCAGAGTAGAAATAGCAGGATTATCAGAAGAAGATGTGGCTAGACAGATGGTGCAAGTGGAAGGGTTTCAGATTTCTGGAGCATTAGGACTGGCTCTGGGGGAGGTGGCATCAATACAAACCAGATGGTTACATCTGGGAAAGACTGCGATCTACGTCATAGGGCTAGTATTTGCTAGCCTGGTCAGGGAGGCTGAAACTAAAATGGCAGAGAAATGGGAAGCTATGTCTGGAATTAGGAAAGGGGGAATCAAGGTCAAAAGCAAAAAGTAGAAAGAGGAATTAGAGAAGCGATAGCCAGAGAAATCAAGGGCCAGAATCAAACAGGTCCACAGTGAAAAATAGTGGGAATGGGATGAGTGATGTTAAAAAAGACAAGCCTTAAGGCTTTATGCTTAATGCACTGAGCATTCACAATAAAGTTGATGAATTAATTGTGCAAATAGATGAAAATAAGTAACATATAATTGAGATTAGAGAAAGATATGACTGCAGGGTTACCGGGATGAGAAATGAATATCCAGGACTGTCCAGACTTCAGGAAGGACAGACAAAAAATATTAGTGGTGGCTGTATATAGACCCACAAACTGTAGGGATGATTTTGGAAATAACATTAAATGGGAAACTAGAGATGCATGCAATAAAGGACCATCTATGACTTTGGGTGATTTTAATGTGCATGTAGATTGGGCAAATCAAATTAGTAACAATACTGTGGCAAAGGAATCCTTGGAGTGTAAATGGGATGGTTTTCTAGTCAATACATTGAGGAAACAAATGGAGAAAAGGCCATCCTAGATTGTGTATTGTGTAATGAGATACGAATAATTGGCAATCTAGCTTTGCCAGGCCCCTTGAAGATGAGCTAATATAATATGATAGAATTCTTCATCAAGATGGACAGTCATGTCACAGATTTTGTGTCTAGAGTCCTGAATCCAAAAGAGAAAATTATACTGCCATGAGGTACAAGTTTGCTATGACAGATTGAGGGGTGTTAATTAAAGGGGTAAGGTCAAAAATCACACGACACCAGGTTATAGTCCAACAGGTTTATTTGAAGATGCAAGCTTTCGGAGTCTCGCACCTTCTTCAGGTGTTAGTGAGACCCGAAGAAGGAGCGAGACTCCGAAAGCTTGTGTCTTCAAATAAACCTGTTGGACTATAACCTGGTGTCATGTGATTTTTGACCTTGTCCACCCCAGTCCAACACTGGCACCTCCACCTCATAATTTAAAGGGATACAGTAGAAAGGCAATGTTAAACATTCAAAGAGCACATGGGTGAACTACAATAATTGATCATTCCTGTCTGGCACGGAAAGGAAAAGGAAGGGTGGCCAAATGATGGCTTACAAGGAAAGTTAGGGATAGCATCGGATCCAAGGAAAAAGTATAAAAATTGGCCAGCACAAACAAGAGACCTGAGGAGTCAGAGCAGTATGGAATTCAGCAAAGGGGGACACATGAATTCATCAAGGTAAAGAAAAATAGAGCATAACAATTGGTTTGTGGGGAACATAAAAACTGACTGTAAAAGTTTATATAGGTATGTGAAGAGAAAAAATGGTGAAGCCAAATAGAGGTCCCATACAGTCAGAAATAAGAGAATTATAATGATATAAGTATAATTTAATAACGAATGAAGAAATGGCTGACCAACTAAATACACACTTTTGTTCTGTGTAGGAGAAAAATATCAGGAGGATGCAAATAACATGCCAGAAATGTAAAGGACTGCAGGGCTTATTGTGAGGGAGGAACTGAAGGAAATCAGTATTGGTAGGGAAATGGTGATGGGAAAATTGATGGGATTGAAGGCAGATAAATCCCAGGGCCTGATAATCTACATCCCAGTACTTAAGGAAGTAACCATACAAATAGTGGATCATTGGTAGTCATCTTCCAAGATTCTACAGACTCTGGAACAGTTCCTACAGATTGGAGGGTAGATAACGCACCCCCTCTATTGATAAAAGAAAGTAGAGAGAAAACCAGGAATGACAGACAAGTCACTCTGAAAATTTTACAGTCCATTGTGAAAGATTTAATAGCTGAGCACTTGGAAAATGGTAGCAGGATCAGAAAGAGTCAGCATGGATTTAGAAAAGAGAATTCTTGCTTGACAAATCTGGTGGAATTCTTTCAGGATGTAACTCGTAGAGTGGATGTGGTTTATTTGGACTTTCAGAAGGTTTTTGGCAAAGTCCCACATAAGAGATTAGTGTGTAACTTTTTTTTATTAATTCACAGGATGATGATGTCACTAGCTTGGCCAGTATTTATTGTCCACCCCTAAATACCCAGAGGGCAGTTAAGAGTCAACCACATTGCTGTGGGTCTAAAGTCTCACGTACGCCAGTCCAGTTAAGGATGACAGTGCCCTCCCCTAAAGGACGTCAGTGAACCAGATGGGATTTTCCAACAATCAACAATGGATTCATGGTTATCATTTAGACTCTTAATTCCAGATATTTCATTGAATTCAATTCAATGCCATGCTAAGATTTGAACTCGGATACCCAGAACGTTACCTGGATCTCTGGAATAACAGACCAGTGACAATATCACTAGGCCATTGCTTCCCCTTATAGTGTAACTTAGTGCATAAAATTACAACATGTGGGATTGGGGATAGTATATTAAGATGGATAGAAAACTTATTGTAGCAGGCAATGACTCCTTTTCTGAATAACAGGCAGTGACTAGTAGGCTACCACAGAGATCAATGCTAGGACCCCAGCTATTCATAGTATATATTAATGATCTAGGTTAGATAACTACAAGTAACAACTCCAAATCTGCAGATGACACAATGCTGGGTGGGACGGTGAGCTGTGAGGAGGATGCAGAGATGATTCCATGTGATCTGGACAAGATGAGTGAGTGAAAAAATGCATGTTAGATGCGGTACAACTTAAATAAACGTGAGGTTATCCATGTTGGAATGTGCAACAAGATCTGCGTGTCCGGGTACATCAATATCTGAAGGTAAGCATGTGGGTGCAGCAGGCAGACAAGAAGGCAAGAGGTATGTTGTCAGAAGATTTGAGTACAGGAGCAGGGATGTCTTGCTGCATTTATACAGGGCCTTGGTGAGATCACAAATGGAGCATTGTGTGTAGTTTTGGAAGAATATTCTTGCTACAGACGGAGTCTAGTGAAGGCTTACCAGACTGATTCCTGGGATGGTGAGACTGATGTGCGAGGAGAGGTTGAATCAGTTTGGATTATTCGCTGGAGTTTAGAAGAATTGGAAGGTTGCATAGAAATTTATAAAATTCTAACGGTAGATGCAGGAAGAAAGTTCCCAGTGGCATGGGAGTCAAAAACCAGTGGTCACAATCAGGGTATAGGGTAAACCATTTAGGACTGAGTGAAGAGAAAACATTTCACCCAAAGAGTAGCTAGCCTGTAGAATTCAGAACCACAGAAAGCTTTCCAAGGCCAAAATATTGTACAATTTGAAGGAGCTGGACATAGCACTTCGGGCTAAAGGATCAAAGAGGGAAAAGCAAGAACAGGCTATTGAGTTGAATGAACAACCATGAACATAATGAGTGGTGGAGCAGTCTTGAAAGGTCAGATCGAATGGCCTACTAAAATAAAAAGATCCTTCAAGATTGGGTAATGCAACAAAACTTGGTCAATATGGCTTTTAGGGAACAAGTAATGTGGCATCTATAATTTTACTGAATATGATTTCAATTCAAAATTAAAATATTGTCTACTTTCTACCAGTATTATTGGCACACATGCAACTAGATTAAAACTAAGGCATGACAATTCCAAACTTAATGTTTAAAGTGATTCAAATTCCTCCTGTAAGAGTGTACTAATCGCACAAATCATTTGTTTGGATTACTTGATTATGTTTCCAACATGCCTCAAAGGAACAATTAGCATCTGCTATACTTGATGAACAGACTGCTGGGAAACACTAGAGAAATGCTTCTGTGAATCTACAGCAAATTACCTTAATAATAAACTTTGTGAAAAGCTATATTTATTGCACATTTCCTGATCATTTATAAATGCAGTCAATACCATTGCTGCATTCTGAGAATATGATTGACTTTAGAGTAATTCACAATAGGTTTGAATATTAGATTTCAGCTTTGCAGGGAATTCCACAGTAGCAATCGTGAACTATAATGATGATTAATTGATCTTATTTAGCCTGGCTTTCCAAGCTCCTTAAAATCTCTGTATTTTACTATGATAAGCTCCTACTTGTTCGTTATTACCTAGATAATCCAGTACATATATTATTATTGTTTCTACTTTCAAAGCATCAGAGGATCTTTCTACCTATGCACATAAATAAGGAATACAAATTATGATTTTTTTGTAAGTAATCCAAGAACCATGTGGAAGTGCTTCAAAAGTCTCTACTTAGCCGAAAGACACAACATTGGATTCTTATTTCAAGGGTCCAAGTTCAAATCTCTGTCTCCAATGGTATTTAAAGTCAGCCATCATCAATCTTAAATTCAGAGACTTAATGAAGCATATGGCAACAGCTTTCTCCAGCTGGGAGTGGAAAGGCCACAGACTGGCAGAGATTCCATCCTCCTGTGTACATCTTGCTGGCAGATCATGCAGTGAGTCTGCCACTTGCAAAGACTGGAACCCCAGTCTCTCCAAGCTGAAAGATGGGAGGATTGTGGTGGGTGATTACAAAGAAATAAAACAGTTTACGAATCTAAACCTAAAATATTAGCAGCTATCACAAAATGTCCAGAATATGTTCATGCTGCAGGAAAAAAGAAAGGAAGTACGTGTTTGCTTGCTACTTAAACTCAATATATTCCACTCCCAAAACCAAATGAAAAATATTTTTACATTATTTTTGCCACAAGGTATGTTAAACATTACCTCTAAGTATGAAGTTCTATCAATAAGCATTTGGAAATGTTTAACATATGCAAGATTAACAACTTAAATGCTAGATAAATAATGGCACGTAGACAAGTTTAATGAAATGTGAGTTTAAATGTTTCTATTTACTATTATTAGCAGTTAACAAGAACACATGCAACCTAGCTTATATTATGTTAATCAGTTGGTAATTTACCTAGAGGGATTAAAAGAGATTCACTAAAATGTGAGTATATTAACAACTGTACTGAAAATAGCATATAAATGATTTTAGGAACACTAACATCCTTTTCTTTATCATATTCAAACATCCCAAGAGGTTCACAGGGACATACTCAAATAAAAAATGACATTGAGTGAAAGTAAGACATATTAGGACAGGTTGGTTAAAGAGATACTATTAAGAAGCAGTCTAAAGGAAAAGAAACAGAGAGCTTTAGGGTGCGAATTACAGAGTTTAAAGCTTTCACAGCTCAAGGCTTGGTTGTAAATGGTGGGATTTAATAGATGGATGATCCACAAGAGGCCAGAATTAAAGGAGTGCACTATTTTCAGAGGGTCATCGGGCTGCAGGAAATTATAGAGATGGGGAGGGGAGAGATCATGGAGGAATCTGAACACTGGATCAAAATTTTAAATGGAAATGTTTGTGGACCTGCACCTAATGTAGTTTAGTGAACACAGCCCATAATGTCTCCTGAGGTGAAATCACTCGTGAAATTTGGTCAAGATTCTGTGAAACCCTTTACAGCTAATATCATTAGTGATGCATAAATAGACACAGTAAAATCTCCAGTGCATTCAACATCAAATTCAATGAAGGGGAAGGTGAGAAAGTGCCAAAACTGGGTCAGTGCAAACCAAAAGGCATTTTCCAGTTATTTAGATGGCAAGCTGGCATTTGTAAGTTGACATTTCTCTGAACTGGGCTTTCAAAGAAAAAATAAATGTGAGATGAAGCACTCTCCTGTTCTTTTTGCAAATGTTTTAGAACAGTCACTCAAGTACAATAAAAGCTGCTGATCTGGGATTGGAGATATACTGGTGGGCTTTTCCTGACCTGGGATCACTTGATGTTTCCGCTGGAATGCCAAAGTGGGAGAGTATTGCCTTCTCAAGTACTTCCCAACTTTGAAAGTACAAAGAGCATTTAGCCCATAAAAAGAGCTGAACAATAAGCTGCACAATTACTTACTTATTGCCCTGACATGGATCATTTGTTTGCTGGTCACAAAGGGTTCCTGTCCAACCTCCTTCACATTCACAGGTGAAGCTGGACTGGCCAATGGTGTGGCAGGTACCATGCTGGCACATCTTCTTCTGACAGGGTTCACAGCCTGGCAGAATGCCAATCTGCATTGGAACTTTCTTAAAGTCCTGCAGTTCATTGTTAATATATAAATTGCGAATGCAGCCATGGAAACTGGTACCATTCTGGCCTGGTCCTTGGCGCAGAGCTGCGAAGTTTGTCTTGGTGGGCATACCTACGAAGAAGCAAAAGTACTGAAATAATCCAGGGCGGTAAATGTAATTTTGAGTCATTAGTGAAATCACAAAGTAACAATTGAACAAGTTCCAAGTGAAATGAAAATATCTTTCATTGTTCATTTTTTTATGTGATTAAATACTTTCAACTAAAATCATCCATTCCCACTCTTTTAAGCCATGCTTCTTTTATATTTTCTGCTTTAGATCCACATCAGCAATACCCTGAATATCTAACTCTCTAGTCAACATGTCAGCAAGTATCCATTGTGGTAAAAGCATTTTAAATTAGAAAATCACAGACAGAAGCCTAAATTGCACCACTCAAAGGCACAGTGTGTAGGTGTTCTGGAGCAGAGCCCTTGGGAATATCATCATTTAAGCTGCAAACACATCTATAAAAGAGACAAGTGTAATCACTAAATCAGTGCCCTAGGTAATGCAGCGCTATTTTTGTGTAATTGTTTCAATAAATGTTACTTCACATGCAAATCTGTTAATCCATCAGCATTTGCCTTGAGCAAAATTATCAAGAAAATTATTATGCAAAATAGTCTGTTTTATTAATTAAACACATCTCTATAAGCATCAATTTACAACATTTTAATAGATGTTTTATTCTAAACATATTTCGGAGTTTAAGTAAATGGTATGAAATATCCTGATAGCTGATAGGATGTTGCTGATGCATTTTCTTGCCAGGTTTTGCTCTTTGGCTGGGACTGTGAAGGATTACAGAAAACAAGAGTCACTGAAAGGAATTTCCTCATCTTGTAAATGTTGGAAATTTACTGGAACTCTACCATACCTCCAACGTAGAGAGGGGAGTCTATGTTGAGTGTAGATTGTCTGGCTAAATTGTTAATAGTTTTAGGATTTCCTCCATCTATCACCAGACTTAACATTTGATCAGCTGCTACCAGCTCCAGACTGTGAAAGTTGCCATCGTTGATTGTTTCCACACTGTAGAAAGAAGAGCAGTGAGTCACCCGGACAATGGATATTTAACATTTAAATCAGACAGGTTTACTTAAATCGCTGCCTACGAAACAACAGAGCTTTATATGCATCAAATATATATTTTCCTAAAGATCTTATATATCTTTTTCAGCTTGAATAAGAGATATGAACATTCAGAGAATTTATTCCCTGCATGTATTAGTAAAAGCATCCACTAGTACGGTTCCATGTCACTACCAACACTGCTGGACTCCAACTCCATGGACAGTCTAAGATAATGTCAAATTCCCAAAGGCTGGAGCATGTAACAATCCTGGCTGCAATTTGCTTGGCCTTTCTGTTAACACAGATCAAAATCAATGCAGTGGCCACTATGGAATTCTGGCTCCATAGAATGCAGGAGCCGGCAGCAAATTTGAATGGCCTACAGCTTCAGAGTTTGGGGCTCCTTCCCAGTAAGGGACGGAAGTTGCACTATCCATCAATGGCTGCACCCATCTCAGGGGCTAACCTTTCCTCTATGGGGGTAGGGGATGTGAGCTGTCCAACCCTTCATAATTTAATGCTCAGTGTTTCCACATAGAGTGGCTGATTCCTGGAATTGAAAAGCTTTTTAACTACTGGGATAGACAGAGATGAATACATTTTTGTTCTGCAAAGAATATGACTAAATGGAGCTGTAGTACGGATCAGTCATCGTGTAACAGAATGGTGCAACAGGCTTGAAGGACTCCTGTTTCTGCAAACTGATTTTCCTACAGTCTCCAGGATTGCTGTGCAGAGTAGGTTAAGGTCATAGTGACTAACATCACATGATAAATGGGGTCAGTGAGGAACTAAATTTTTGTGCAGTGTACCCATTTATTAAAGACATGCTTATATGGCAAAGAATGGGTTTCATGTCTACTCTTCTGAGTAAAGTCGGCAGTTGAGAATACAAATGACTGAAGTATGAAAAGAATATTGGCTCTTTCAGAGATGACATACAAACACATCTTGATTGCCTTTGCTAGCTGCTAATCAGTGGAAGTGTGAAAAGCTTTAAAATGATGTGCTTAATTATGTGGCAGTGCCTCGGGGAGATGGATGTTTTCTATCTCACACAGGCTTAATGGAAGACCATTTGTCATAGCAACAATTCACATATGACTGATGGAGACTATGCACAGTGTAACCCGATTCCTCACTGTCAACCATGTCCTGACTTTACTGATTAGAAGCACAGCTTTGTGATGTGCCATTTCTATTAGTACAAGGACAGCTTCATTTGTGAGATTAAAGGCTTTGCATATCAGCTAACCTGTCCTCATTTTTAAGGTAGAATTTTCTCGGACTGAAAATGAAAGGACTATTTTGTAGCTCTCGGGAAGAACATTCAAGTTTGAACTATGATAAAACAAACCAGAAAATGATCAGTATATCAGACAACAGGCAAATGTTAAGTCTGGGCCTTTACCTAATGGGTCTACTTTTTCCACAGGATTCATTCCATCGAGTGTTTCTAGCATTTGTATTTTTGCTAAGTTCCAACATCTGCAGTGTCTTGCCATTCATCTTAAATCAGCAGATTCAGCATGGTTATATGTAAGCATTTAGTCATAATTATCAATATGAGCATTTATGCCACACCACTGCAATATCGCAGCTATACAAAAACCCCATGATAATGTCTCTATTGACTGAAGTCATAGTAATAAATGATAACTGTAAAGAATTGTAGGCTTGTTGAGGTATTGTAATAGAATTGGGTTAATTATTAGCAGTATCTTTATGTTATAAAATATATGACGTGTTGCCGGAAGGATTTGTCACTGTTCTATCAATGAATGAAAAGTTGTCTAATTAACGTCTTATAGCACAACATTTCTTATTTCCCTTTTTTTTGTGACGCTGCAATTAATTCTGACTTGACCAGCCTTGCTAGGTTTGATTAGTCCAGATGAATCACTGAAATCAGCCAGTTTCAAGCATGTTACTACAGCCTATTCCTTTAGAAAGAATACTGGCTGCAGATTAATTTCAGAGGACTATCAAAATCTGTTTTATTTTCTAAAACAATATTGAAATATATACTTCTTTACATTTGCAAACTGGAGAGTGAAACTGTATCTTGTTTCATTCCCCTGGTCCTGTGAAGGCTTTGGGGTTAATCTGAGTTGAGCAATGCTACTCTGAAATGGTGTGTGCATGACCTTGAGTTTATTGTCTTGACGGTACATAGGGGTGAACATCAATTGAACACAGTGTACGGTTCAACATGATGCAATCTCTGATAGTTGAATAGTCTGTCAAGTGCAGTGATGAAAAATGATGCCTTGGGAATGGCTGTTGAAAGTAGAAAGCAAAGGAAAGTGACCACCTGAAATGATTTTCTTTCATCACACATCAGGTATCTATTCAGGAAATGGCTTCCTTGGAGCCACTGGTCCCTGTCTATTACCAGGGAACTGCAGGGCGTGTCAACTAAGTGCTGACCATCCTTGGATCAACCATATTCCATATGATACCCGTGCAATAAGCATCCATCAGTAAAACAAACAAGCATGGCAAGAAACACATGCACATACAAACATATGCACACACAGTAGATTTGGCATTCACTCCTGTTGTTCAACATGCTAAAAGGAATCCATTTGTGCTGTTTGAGGAAATCTGCTCAATTATCATTGCAACGTGAATGTAGGAATTACAAACAAAGAACAATAAATTTAAAAGAAACTAAAATATCACCAGTTATAACTTATGCTTTCACAACCTGATTTGGAGAAGATGCAACAATTCATCTATGTTTCCAAAACTGTAGACAAAATGTCTCCTTCATACACAAGTGTATCTGCTTGTTGTAGCACTCAAACACAAGTTATTCAGGCAATAAACATGCTATGAGCAGGGATGTAATATTCTTAGCCTGAGAGTGTCTGGAGATTTGATTACCTGTCTAGCTAACCTGACAACACCTCTACCATTCTGCCAATGAGACTGAACTTAAGTGACTTGAAGACAATACAAAACCTTGACTGAAACATTAAATTAACTTTTTTTTAGGTCTTACTATTATTTTTTTCTATAAAATTGGGGAATGTTGAACAAAATACACTTTGGACTTATCGTGTATACTTGAATACTGGTTGACCTTGTGTATGAGTTGACTCCCAATTTCATGGTGGCTCAATGGTTAGCACTGCTGCCTCATAGTGCCAGGCACCTGGGTTCGATTCCACTCTCAGGTGACTGTCTGTGTGGAGTTTGCACATTCCTCCGGGTGCTCTGGTTTCCTCCTGCCGTCCAAAGATGTGCAGGCTAGGTGGATTGGCCATGCTAAATTACCCCATAGTGTTCAGGGATGTGTAGGTTAGGGGGATGGGTCTGGGTGGGATGCTCTGAGAATCGGTGTGGACGTGTTGGGCTGAAGGGCCTGTTTCCACACTGTAGGGATTCTATTCTATGAAGATTCAAACTATTCATAGTTACCAGCTGAGTGTGCCTTTGAAGTCAAACATGCCCCAGTGCAAACTCACTTATTTACAGAATATTAGAATAACATATCATTGATGGCCGTTGTTCAGCACCTTGTGTTTGCATGTGGTGTCAAGACTACCACCTCAGCAGTTTACTCTGCATTTATACAACATGTTTTGGGAAGGGTGGAAGCTGGGTTGGCAGGAAATATCTCTGACTTGGTTACTCTGACAGTGAGATGGGGGGAGACCTTAGACTTCAAAGCTATTGCGCATGTTAATGTCAAAACCCATACTTTTTCGCTAAAAATTTCATTTCAGAACCTCAACTTTTACATGAGTATATGCGGTACTTTGTCTACCATTAGACCAATGATTTTTAATGTTGGGTGATATGCTCATATGTAGTAGTCTGAATTCATTGCCTGAAATTGATTCGCCAGTGTCAACCCCGCAACCACCAGCACTTTATACAAACATCACACAGCTCAAAATGCACCACCCAGATATTAATCACAACTATAAGGGATAAATGGTGCAACTGAAATGTAACTATTTATGCAGGTAACAAATGTATACCCTTTCCAATCATGTCAAGATCAACTTTAGGGGTTTTATTTATTCCCTATTAATACTCAATCTACTTAAGGGAAGAAAGCAGAATTATCATTCAGGTAGAGTATTTTAACATCTTTAACACATCTCACAAGGCTTTAGATTCACTGAATTACTTGCAGTAAAGTCACTGCTGTATAGGTACAATTGTTCAAACAGTGAATGCTGATGACATTGTTAAAGGGATAGGTTTAGAGGAGCTGTTGTCTCGAACAGTATGAAGGAACAAAGCTAACATACACAGAGATGGAACTCTGTACACTAATGACAAATCTGTATTCAGTGAGTGGAGTCAGATAATATTCCAGATTCAGCAAGTGCTGGTTGAGGAGGGTAGGTATCAGTTGTGTGGGGTCATTGAGTACATTTTGGGCATATCTATGTTGTACAAATATGGACAAAATGTCATAAAGCACGCTTTTTAAAATCCTGCTTGCCATTGTGGTGGGGCAGTGGTGGGTAATGCGGACTTTCTCCACATTTGTCACCAATGTAAAAGACTAATCCAGGTCTGGAAAGAAAGTGCTGTACTACCTGGGCCCAGGTTGCTCCAATTGCCTGCTTCCTCCTTACTGAGGCTAGTTGTGCTGTCAAGGTATGCTATATTTTGCCCAAGGTCATGATCATCAGTTTAATAGTGAGTCCTATGGAGCTGGGGAAGCAGGAAGTGCTGTCAATGGGCTACCCAATTACAGAGCAGTACTCCAACATCAGTGAGATCAGGGAGATATCAGAACTTACACCCCTCGTGTTGTCAATGAGAAAAATGACAGTCACCAAATACAACGGTGTCCCAATTTCCAGTTGATTCTTTGGGACTGTTAACCACATTTTCAGAGGGGATCCAGCAGGAATTAAGAAAATTTGGAGCCTTTTATTATTTAAGCAGCACAAAAGTGCACCTGTGTCTCCAGGGAGCATTGCAAATGGTTTAAAATCAAATGGACATGGCGATGAGACATTTCTTTTCAGCTCTAGAACTTGGGTTCAGTTTCTAACAAAACTGATGTGATAAAGGACAAGATTTATTGGGAGCTTTGGGACTGTGCTTTTGGGACCAAATGAGGGTTCTGAGCAGAGGGACTGGCATTTCAGACTGTCTGGAGGTGGTTATCCAATTAATTGCATTGGATAACCTCCTCACACTGCAGCTCCAATCAGAAGGCTAGCCGCTGTTGAAGATCGCAGCCCCACTGGCAGAGATTGATGCTGCTGAGAGACTGATCGAAAGGGCACTGCAGCATTGACGGCCCACTGAGGGAATCTCTCCGACCACAATCCTGTCTTTGGGGCTTGGAACTTCCATGGATGGCAGCAAAGATGAATCATCCCCAAATGGTTCCTTAAATATTTAGTATTAAAATGTGACCGTGCTATCTTGCTGCCGCCTGCCTCTACACGAATACTCACTGGACTAAAAGAAACCTGCCCAAAGTCCATGTCTGCCATCAATAAAAGAGTGTCATCTGGAAAGCATTTGTTGAACGCATCTCCACCCAGTTCCCAATGGGCATAAACCCAAAATTGAAATGGCTCTAATCTGCAATTTAGTTTACAATAATAGCTCACACAAAATGTTACAGAGTTTCAACAGGATTCAGGTTGAAGTAAATTGTAGCTGCGCAGTACAGGATTAGGTTTGCAGGCACAAATAGGGTCAGTTGCAGTTATAAGGATTACGATGCGGAACTATTCCACACCCTACTGAGGGAACGAAAGCAACATGCAAATTTCATGCTGTCTGGTGATCACCAGTGCTAATTTGGTTCATGACTGACCACATGCTTATGCAGGGGACAGCTTTATGCAAGACGAGCATGTGTAAGAGCCTGTCTGCACTTTATAAAGGGAAAGTGCATACTGGCAGCAGCAGAAATATTAACAATTTCAGCAAGAGTTTCTCACGAGAAATAAAAAGCATGAAAGGAGCTGCAGGCCTAATACAGGGCTCACAAGCTACCTTTGACTGTGCTAAAGGCCATTGTCCAAGAAATGGAAAGGAGGATGGACTTTATGATTCCATAGGGATCCAGAAGACCCTCCGGCCTCCTGTTCTGTTTCCCTCCCATAAGGAAATGGGAGCAGGTAGTCACCATGTTAAATGTAAAGATCAAAGAATCTGGTCCACAGGACTTAGCTGCAGTGCTGCAAAAAAATTTGCTGACGTCACAGAAGTGATAATGGTTAGTAAAAGCATCTTTTTCACACACCATCTCTTACGGCACCAACAACTGCGCACACTGCCCAATGCCTTACACCCTCATGATTCACACATTCTAGCAATCAGGGTTCATGCCAAACATTTACTCAAATACTTTAATTCACCTTCACAAAATTACCACTGCTGGAAGCCTCCGCAGCTTCCGAAGAATCCCAGCTGTTTACTTATGGCAGGCCCATCACTCAGACACACTCTAACCCATTCACACATTGCAGGACAAGGTTGTACATAATAGAAGGTAGAAGTAAAGAATCTACAAGGATCATACATACCTGAGCCCTGTGAAGAATTACAGGCCTACATTACTGGCACATTACTACATTACTGTAATTAAGGCCATCTGACATGATGGTACGTTCCTGCCTAACATCGCTTCTTAAATTCCACTTCACCTCATAGTGCTAACAGACAAGAAATGTAAGTTGCAGATGGTGTGACCATTGGCTGCCTGTCTTTCACTTGACCCCTGCCTTCCCACAGTCCAAGCGTTCCCTTCTGCAGACTCTGCAGATCCCTAAGAACAACTGCTGGGGTGAATCAGAGTGTAGCCTGATGATGAAGAGAGAGAACCAAATTCAATACCTGACAGTGAAACACTATGACTTGACCTGACAACTGCAATAACCAGCTCAGATATTAACACTGCATGTCGTCCAGAGGGTAGGATGGAGTTGACACAGGATAGTGGAAGCAACTGAAGGAAGGAAATTCCCACGTGCGAGTGTTTCTGAGGGCAAGCATACAGACAGGTCTGCTGCAGGAACTTGAATGAGGACTTTAGTGTATAGGTAATAGCTGGTATGCCTGGACACTGAATTGCTGGCACATCGGTAGGTCTGCCACAAAGCTGTCTTGGGCAGCATGGAGGAGTTCATCTCCACAGGGCTTCATGCAGAGCTTGGAGTCTATCTTTCCACTTTAACTCCATGATAGGTCTTGTGTGCCCAGCCATGACACAGTGTCTGGTTGGTGATGTCTCAGCTTCTACTGCAGTCCAGGCAGAATCAGCCAAAATCTCCATGCTGCTGTGGCAGCTCAGACTAACGGCACTGCATCTATGCTTACTGCAATGTAACGTTAGACAGCTGCTGCCTCAGTACGTAGGCCTTCACAGTAAATCCAGAAAACCGTCCTCTCAGCAGAATACCAGGACTGAGGAGGCACTAAGGCATATCTCCAAGAGAGTGTCAGTAGCTCCATGGTGCTCAAACCTGCTGTTCTCAGTCAGGATGAGGACAGTCGTGTTTTTCGAGTGTTCTTGCTGTTGCATTTCAGCCAGCCCAGACTGCTGCTACCCAAGATAGTCAAGGTCATCTTGCAACACCATCTGCACGCTCATCTTCTGGGAGTCAGTAGCCACGTACCAGCTCTGCTGCAGTTATGAGGGTTTACATTGCAATAGGAATGCCAAGGCAGGCAAAGGCATCGCAAGAAAGCACAGAGGAACAATGTACAATGGTGATTTGTTCTGTTTTGGTTTGGAAATGTTGTTGGACAAAGTTACGGATTTCTTTTTATGAGGTGTCTCATTCTAGACCCTCAGCTTTATCTTGTAATGCACAACCTATTTATTTAAATGTGCTGATTCTTTAAATATTTTTGCATGGCTGCACACAGGTGATAACTTAAATAGATCAGCTTATGCCTGGCTTGTGTGGTAGCTATTTTTCAACAGTCAAAGACAGTCGAGTGGAGATCCATCATGTAGCTGAACACATGATCAACTGTGCTTACTTAAAACAGACCATTGACAGGACCTGGGAGGTCTGGTGTTACATCAGAGTTGGACACTGACTGATGTCACGATCTTTCATTCTGCATGTATTCAGTACATGCGCAGTTTGTGCCGTCACACTTCCCAACTGGCAATTGACATGGACTGCATCAGAAGTAAAAGCAAGCCTATTTGTTGTTATTTTAAACCTTCTGAGCTCCTTTAGTGATGCTGAAGATTCCAAATTTATGCCCTCAGTGCCCTAAATAGAAAATATTCCCTAGAATTAATGACTAATGTTTATGAAGATGAAGTTTGCAAAACGAAAATCAACCTTTGTTTAAAAGCAAATCCCCTACCTTACACACTTTACTTACTGAATCTTCATTTGCCAAGCATTATTTGCATGAGGTCACAATTGTCAATGGAGGGAGAGTCCATAAATCACTCACCTGTAAATGGCTGATGCTGGATAGGTACCTGTGTCATAGCTGACACGTACTCGCCCACGGAAAAGCTCCACAGCGATGTGATCATTGTCTCCTTTGTACAGCAAAATCCCATTGTCTTCATCTGTAGCAACCTTAGGAATGTCAAGTGGAAAAAGTCAGCTCACTGGATCTTCATGGAGATGTCAGGGTAGAAATTTATCTTGGGCGATGGTACTAAAAATGTAACATTGGATCAGATGTCCATTATATGCAATGCCTGCTATTCTGTTCCATTATAAGCATTTACATTGAACAATGCAGCATAGGAATTGGCCCTTAGGCCCACCATGTCTGCACCAACCCTGATGCCATACTAAACTAATTCCATCTGACTGCACATGGTCCCTGTCCCTCTATTCTCTGCTTGTCCATTTGTCTGTCTAATTGCCTCTTAAACAATGCGATTGTATCTGCTTCTGCCACCTCCCCTGGCAGCGCATTCTAGACACCTACCATCCTCTGCATAAAAAAAGTGCCTTGCACATCACCTTTAAACTTTCCACTCACATTTTAAACCCAAGTCTCCTAGTATTTGCCTTTGTTTTTTGCACTTTCTCCCCTTAGCCACAGATACTAGGCTGATATTACTTGTGTCTTGTCTTGCCTTGAAGCGCAGACTCAGACCCAGTAGCATGGCTTCCAGCAGTGATCAGTCAAAGAGGGTGGATGATGCTACAACAATCTTTCTTAGAAGGAAAAGTACAAAATCATGATCTCTAAACATGAAGAAATCTCAGCCAGTTTAAAAAGGCATTATTCAGAATTACTGAGGAGTACTTGGTAAAACTTGCAATGTTTGTTTGCAAAAAGTATTATCAAAGTTTTGATTGGTCCATGAGAATGACAATCACTCCTGATTATTATTTCTCGATTCAGGTAGAAGTTTAGCTCAACTTAAATCTCAGACGAAGGCATGTTTCAAGAAATGTAATATCAGAATAAAAAAGACAGAACACCTGAATATGTATGTAAATTGGACTTCCATAGAAAAGTTACTTTTTTGGCGACTGAATTGACATAAGGGTCTTTAGTAAAGACATATACCTAATATTAACCACTGCTAATTGGAACATTTTTCTTACCTGGAGAGAGATATTAGGCTGAAGCTGTATGTTTGGTGAGGGAATCTGGAGGTAGGAATCTCTGTTCACAAAGTTCACACTAACCAATTTTTCACACTTGTCACCTTCATAACCTGCCAGACATTGGCAGACTGGCTCATTTCCAATTTCAATACACTGGGCTCCATTCTGGCATTCAAAGTGATCGCAGGGGCTAGTGCGAGGTAAAACCATTGGTGGGGTCAGCTCACAAAACAGACCACTGAAAAAGATGTTTAATAAGAAAATGAACTTTAGTCGTCCTAGAAAAGTTTTATCAGATATAAATAAAGCCTGAACAAACACAACGGCTACCAAACAGTCTGAGATTGTACCTTCATCAATGAAGGGGCCATCATTTTCAGAAAATGAGGAAATTACGAAATTTTGTGTAACAAGCAAAAGCTCCAAGAATGGAAATCAATTTACCAGATTGCAACTAAATGAGTAGGTATCATTTAATTTGTACAGAATGTACATAAGAATACCACTTAGCCCTGTGGCCATTCAATAAGATCTCATTGTTGACCTGATTATAACCTCAAATTCACATGCCCACCTATCCCTGCGTACGAAGATCGATTGACCTCTGCTTTAAAAATATTCAAATCTGCTTTCACTGTCTTTTCCAGAAGAGAGTTCTAAAAGCTAACAATTCCCCTTGGAGAAGAAACTTCATCTCATCTCCTTAAAATGAGCAATCACTTATTTTTAAACAGTGACATCTAATCCTAGAATCTTCCATGAGAGGAAACATCCTCATCACATCTACCCTGTCAAAACCCTTTATGATCTTATGTTTCAAGCAGGTCACTCTTTACTTCTATAAAGCCCAGTGGATAGAAGCCTTTCTTCATATGACAATCCTCTCATTTCAGGAATTAGTCTGCTAAAACTTCTCTAAACTGCTTCCAATGCATTTACATCCTTCCTTAAATAAAGTGACCAATACATACACGGTACTCCAGAAGTGGTCTCACCTGTCATCTGTATAATTGAAATGTAACCTCACTATTGGTACTTTTAAATCTCCTTTTAACAAATGTATCAGCTTTCCTAATTACCTAATGTCTTTTCTTTATTCATTCACAGGATTTGTGCATGGCTGGGTAGACCAGCATTTATTGCCTATCTCTAACTATGCCCAGACAGCAGTTAAGAATCAATAGCCTTGCTGTGGATCTGGAGCCACATGTAGGCCAGACTAGGTAAAGATGACAGATTTACTTCCCAAATGTCATTAGTGAACCAGATGGAGATTTGCAGTAGTTGACAGTGTTTTCATAATTGTCATTAGGTTAGCTTCTTTCTTAAATACCAGATTTTTATATTGAATTCAAATCCAAGATTTGAACTCATGCTCCCAGGACATTAACCTCTGGTTCTGGTTTACTAGTCCAGTGCTATTACACCACATTTCCCCAAGGGAACTTGTGAAGGAGAACTCAAAAAATTGCAATAGGTTAAGTGAGCTGCAAAGATCTGGTAAATGGAATATAACATGGGAAAGTGTTAAACTGGCCATTTTGGAAAGAAGAATAAAAGTATATTATCTAAACGGTAAAAAAAATTGCAGATGGTCTGAGGGGCAAAGGGGCCTGAGTTGCCCAGTGCATGAATCATAAAAGGCTAGTACTATTTTGTAGATAACACGGCATGGAGCTGGAGGAACACAGCATGTCAGGCAGCATCAGAGGAGCAGAAAAGCTGACGTTTCAGGTCGGGTTTTGGGTCATTTCTGAAGTAGGGTCCCGTCCCGAAACGTCAGCTTTTCTGCTCCTCTGATGCTGCTTGACCTGCTGTGTTCCTCCATCTCCACAGTGTCATCTCTGACTCCAGCATCGGCAGTTCTTACTATCTCTGAGTGAGTTAGTACTATTATTAAGCCTTTTTGATAAGCTTCCATTATCTCCTCCTTTCTTCTACCACATGTTCACTATCAGGGGCCTGTAAACTACTTTTTTACCATTTATCATTGCTACCCAAACCATTTCACATCCTCGTTGACTGAACGTAGCTCATTCCTCACTACCATACTAATACCATCATTAACTAGCAGAGTTACCTCTCCACATTTTCATAGCTTCCGGTCCTTTCTAAATATGCTGTGTTCTTCAGTACTCAGTGACCAATCCATGTCATCACACAGCCATGTGTCTGTAATGTCTACCAGGTCATACTTACTTATTCTTGTTAAAACAAAACAGATGAACTGAGAGTGTAAGTGCTACATGGAGTCAGATGGAGAGTCTTATGTTTTATCTTTTTATTCTTTCCTTTTCCAGGCTCATCTGTTGATTTCTTCAAGATTTGTAGTCTTTAGCCTTTCCTATCACTATCATTTTGTGACATTAATGCCATTCTCTTTTTCCTTATTTCAGTTCTTTGATTTATCACATTTTTCAAAATTTTATCTTTTCCCCCACTATTCAGTTTAAAATCTATTTCCCTAATTATCTGGCTCACCAAAACATCAGCCCGAGCATTGCTCAAATGGGGACCTTGTGGATAGATTCCAATTTCCCCAGTACTGGTGCCAGTGCCCTATGAACCAGATCACACTTCTCCCATACTAATCTTTCACCCATGTGTTCTGATTTGCCCTATGTCAATTGTACATAGCTCAAGTAATAATCCAATATATATGACCTTTGAGGCTCTGCATCCTGATTTTATGCCTAGCTCCTCTTTCTATGGCCCAGATTTTCTGAGGCCAAATAGTCACTTCTGCTGCAGAAATGGGACTTGCATGTCGGGACACTACACAATTCCCCATGCAGTAGACTCCAAAGGAATTGCCCAGGGGATTGAAGGTTCCCTGTGCCTGGACTGTGATCTTATTCTCCCATTTACCATATACAAAATACAGCAAATCAACTGGTAATTCACCAGTTCTGCTGAACATTATGGTGATATATCAGTATCAGATGATTTACACTGTATCTTGTGTGAATCACTGTTACAATATTGACAAATACAAACAATTTGAAGGGAGTGGGCATTATCTGATTCCAGCTTTGGCATCGATTACAAACTTGTGGTGACTTTGTTTCCTCTACGCTCACACAGTACTTTTACTACCACAGCTCACATGAGTAAGTTGACCACTTACTTTATCTCAACACTTCAAATACAGACAAACGCTGACACTGTTTTCTGTCATAAGTTAAACCAATTTTATGAGAAACAAAACTGACTGGGTTTTACGGATTTGTGCACTCCTCCAGAGAGTCATGCTTTGTCAAAACTATTTATCTTCCCAATGTCTTGCCCAATAAGACCTACCTGTAACCTTCTGGGCAGATACATGTATACCCATTCACTGCATCAATGCACTGTGCACTGTTTTTACACTTGTTCTCCTGGCAGTCATCATAGTCAATGTCACAGTGTTCACCAACGTACCCAGGTGTGCACTCGCACCTGTAAAACAGAAAGGAATCTCAAAAAGTCAGATTTTAAAAAAAATCATCCATGAAGTATTTCAAAAATCATGCTTCTTTGCAAAAGATGTGGTCCTGATCAAACTCTTCTTACACACTGTCAGAGAAATGTTGGTTACTTTCCAAATGCCTCTGGGTAATCGGAAATGTGACTTCCAGAACTTGATGCCTTCAATGCTGTTTGTTAGTATTTATAACTGAGCAACACTGTGAATAGCCTGATCTTCTACAGTTTGAGAGGAAATATTACTGGCATTTATAATTTGAAAAAGGATTCAAGTCTTGTTAGAAATAATACAAAGAACTGCCGGTGCTGGAGATCTGAAACAACAACAGAAACCGCCAGTGAAAATCACTGGACTCAAAACATTAACTGTGTTTTCTCCCCACACATGCTGGGTTTTGCCAATAATTGCTGTTTTTCGGTTTCAGACTCTTATATGTCAAGTATTGGGACCTCAGCAAAATGTGTTCTCTGCACATTCAATATTGTGTAAAAGAAAGTTTCCTTTCATTGGAAGGTTAACCGTCTGCTTAGGAGACAGTCTGGCCCAGACAGTTATTGGAACCCATGTAATGCTGCTGGCAGTGTGCACAGTTTGCATAGTGGCACAACAAGACTTCATGTGTAGGCGTGCAATGACTATTATCTACCTGCAGGCAGAAAGGAAATGCTATAGCAGCACCTGCTTAGAGCTGGATAGAATCCAAATTGTTGCACATAACTGCTGTTTTCTCTATAATTATGTGCACTGTGGAGAAATGTCCAATGTATTTAATCATTTCATTACCATCGTGAAAGGAGGCAAAGGCACTAAAGTTTATTGGAGAGATCCCACCCTGATCAGCAGTGCAAACAAAACTTCAGAACAAAAGTATAAAGAACTGCAGACGCTGAAGTCTGAAAAAAAGAAATTGCTGGCAGCATCTGTAGAGAGAAAGCAGAGTCAACATTTCAGGTCCAGTGACCCTTCTTTAGAAATCTTCAACATTATGTCATGCCTGAAATTTATAGAGGTTGGAGTGCAAAGGGATAAAACCCATACCTTTGCTGAATACAGAGGTTCTAGGATTCTGAGATTTTTTTAATGTTTGCATTCTTGTATTCATAAATGCTATTTCAAATTGTGTAGTTCTTGCCAGACTCTGCCAAATAAAGTGAATTCTACACAATTAGTTTTAACTCTGTATAAGTGAATTATATTCTTCAATAGCGATTTAAAATATATTGTTGGTTGTTCTGTTAGTGTTTCATGCTTTCAAGCTTTTTAAATCTGTTTCTTTGTTAGACTGCATCCCTGAACTGCTTACTGGGTTTTCCCACCTTATGGTGGCAATGAGATCTGCACTACTGCAACTATGTGGTATTTTCTAAGATAACCATTGCTGGTGACATCTGGTATTTGTCATGTCTAGCAATGCATGATACTGGCTAAGCACCATTAGAATTAAAAACCAAAAGAACTGCGGACTCTGTAAATCAGGAACAACAGTTCTGAGGAAGGGTCACCGGACCTGAAACGTTAACTCTGATTTTTTCTTCACAGATGCTGCCAGACCTGCTGAACTTTTCCAGCAACTTCTGTTTTTGGCCGTTAGAATTAGTTTGCTGCCACTAGTCTTCCATTGTGTTTGCTTTGTTTTGAACTTATCAATGATTAGCATTACAGGATACACTACTATACAGTATCTACAGAAGAGGTATGGTTCTTAATTGAGAAGGATTATTGCATGATTGCAAGAAGTGCAGCTACATTTACTTGGTCAGGGAATTTATAGGGAACAGGTAGAGATACACATGGCCTCTCTGGAAACTAGAGCAGAACTCCTCCATTCAATTCACAGATTGTGTGAAACATCAGGATAGTTTATAAGCAATACAAACTGTACATTTACCCCTTCAGAACCTGACATTACAAATTCCTGACTGGAATTTTGGTTAGACCATATTGAGAACACTTTGCACAGCGTTCTGATTTTTTTAACGCAGTGTGACACAGTGGCACTGGAATAAGTACCAAATATATATTCATGAAACCAAAGCAAAGGCGGCTCTCTATTATATTGTTTTATTTGTTCACGGGATGTGGACATTTCTGGCTCAGCCAGCATTTATTTTTCATGTCTAATTGGCCTGGAGAAGGTAGTGGTGAGCCAGCCTCTTGAACTGTTGCAGTCCTTGAGTTGAAGGGACACCCACAGTGCTTTTAGGAAGGATGGTCTAGGCCTTTGAACCAGTGACACTGAAGGCACTGCAAGATAGTTCAAAGTTAGGAAGGTGTATGGCTTGGAGGAGAACTTGCAGATCGTAGTGTTCCCATGTATCTGCTGTACTTGTTCTTCTCTATGGTAGAGGTCATGCATTTGAAGGTGATGTTGATGGGGACTTGGTGAGTTACTGCAGTTTATCTTGTAGATTGTACACACTGCTGTCATTCTGCATCAATGATGAAAGGAATAAATATTGAAGACAGTTTATGGGCTGGCGATCACGTGGGCTGCTTTCTCCTGCATGATGTCTTCATGAGTGTTGTTGGACCTGCAACTATTCAGGCAAATAATGATTATTATATCACACTCTTGACTTCTGCCTTGTAGATGGTGGACAAGTGTTAGAAAGTGAGTTACTTGCCACAGAATTTCTAGCCACTGACCGGTGAAGACATGGCATTTATTTGGCTGTTCCAGTCCAGTCAATGGTTCTGTCAAATCTCATACTGTTGACAGTGGGTGTTTAAACTACGCTAATACAGTGAATGTCAGGGGGTGATGGTTAGATTGTCTCTTATTTGAGATGGTCATTGCCTGGCAATTGTGTGGCATGAATGTTACTTTCCACTTGTCAGCACAAGGCTGGATATTGTCCAGATCTTGTTGCATTTGAACATGGACTGCTTCAGTATCTGAGGAGTCAGAAATGGTGTTGAACATTATGCAATCATTGGCAAACATGCCCATTTCTGACCTTATGTTGGAAGGAAGGTCATTGTTGAAGATTTGAAGAAGATTGGGCCTGGGATACTATCCTGAGGAACTCCCACACAAATGTCCTTGGACAGACATGATCAGCCTTCAACAATTGTAACTATCATCCTTTCTGTCAGGAATGACTCTTTACTGTCGAGTGTTTGTCCCGATCAATACAGACTCCAGTTTTGTTAGGCCTCCTAGATGCTACACTCGGTCAAATGCTGGTATTCAGTCAAATAGCTTAAGTTTTAAGATAGCTATGGATAAGGATAAGTCAGGATCTTGTGGGAAGGTACTAAACTGGGGAAGGACAAATTACGTTAGTATTAGGCAGGAGCTAGGGAGTGTTAACTGTGAGGAGCTGTTATTGGGCAAGTCCACATTTGACATGTGGGAGTTGTTTAAAAACCTGCTGATCAGAGTTCAGGACGAGTGTGTTCCAATAAGGAGGCAGGACAAGGATGGCAAGGTAAGGGACCCTTGGATAACGAGGGAGGTTGTGAATTTAGTCAAAAGGAAAAGGTATGTAAGGTTTAGGAAGCTAAAAATCAGAAAGTGCCCATGAGGAATATAAAGAAAGCAGTAAAGAACTCCAGCAGGGAATTAGGAGAGCAAGAAGAGGCCATGAAATGACCTTGGCAAGTAGGGTTAAAGAGAATCCCAAGGCATTCTATACATATATTAAAAATAAGAAGATAACTAGGGAGAACGTAGGACCACTCAAGGATAAAGGAGGAAACATGCGCTTGGAGGCAGAGGCAGTGGGCGAGATTGTAAATGAGTACTTTGCATTGGTATTCACCCAAGAGAAAGTTATGAAGAATAGTGAAATTTATGTGGACCATGCTAATATGCTAGGGCATTTTGAGATCAAGAAAGAAGTGATGTTGGATCTCTTGAAAAGCATTAAAGTGGATAAGTCCCCAGGGCCCAGTGGTGCCTATGAGAGGTAAGAGAAGAGATTTTTGGGGCCTTGACCAAGATCTTTATATCCTTGCTAGCTACGGGAGAGGTCCTGGAGGACTGGCGAGTAGCTAATGTTATTCCTCTGTTCAAGAGGGAAATATGGATAATCTAGGAAACTAGAAACCGGTGAATCTCACATCAGTGGTTGGGAAGCTATTGGAGAGAATTCTTAGGGGTAGGATTTACACGCATTTGGAAAATCAAGGCCTAATTAGAGACATTCAGCGTGGTTTTGTGTGGGACAGGTCATGCCTTACTAATGAGTGAATTTTTCGAGGAGGTGACGAAGGTGATCAATGAGGGTACAACAGTGAATGTTGTCTACACAGATTTTACCACAAAGTGCCTCATGGCAGACTCATCCAGAAGATTAAGATGCATATGATCCATGGTGACTTGCCCATATGGATTCAGAATCGGCTTGCCCATAGAAGGCAGGGGGTAGTGGTGGAAGGGTGTTTTTTCTGGCTGGAGGTCCATGACTAGTCGTGTTCCGCAGGTAACAGCACTGGAGCCCCTGTTGTTTGTGATCTATGTAAATGACTTGGATGAAAATGTGGATGGGTGGGTTAGTAAGTTTGCAGATGATACAAAGATTGGTGGAGTTGTAAATAGTGTAGAAGGTTGTTAAAGGATACAGTGGGATAGACATTAGTTGCAGATATGGGTGGAGAAATGGCAAATGGAGTTTAATCCGGGTAAGTGCGAGGTGCTGTACTTCGGGAGATCAAATGTTAAGGAAACGTATACAGTTAATAGCAGGACCCTGAACAGTGTTGATGTACAGAGGGATTTTGGGATTCAAGTCCGTGGCTCCCTGAAAATGTCCACGCAAGTAGACAGGGTGGTAAAGAAGGCATATGGCATGCTTGCCTTTATTAGTCAGGGAACTGAGTACAAGAGTCAGGATGTCATGTTGCAGCTTTATAAGACTTTGGCTAGGCCACACTTAAGTATTGTGTTCAATTCTGTTTGCCACATTACAGGAAGGATGTGGAGGCTTTGGGAAGAGTGCAGAAGAGGTTTACAACAAGGATGCTGCCTGGATTAGAGGTTATGAGCTACAAAGAGAGGCTAGAAAATCTCAGGTTGTTTTCTATGGAGCAGCGGAGGCTGAGGGGAGACTAGATAGAATTCTATAAAATTATGTGATGCACAGATAGGGTTGATAGTCACAACTTCCCAGAGTTGAAATGTCTAATAGTAGGGGGCATGCATTTAAGGTGAGAGGGGGAGAATTCAAAGGAGATGTGAGGGGCAAGTTTTTTTTACACAGAGAATGGTAGGAGTGTGGAACATGCTGCTGGGGTGATGGTGGAGGCAGATACAACAGAGGCATTTAAGGGACTTTTACATAAGCACATGCAAGGAATGGAGCAATATGGACCAAGGGCAGGCAGAAGGGATTAGTTTATTTTGGCGTCATGTTTAGCACAACATCGTGGGCCAATGGGCTGTTCGTATGCTATACTGTTCTATGTTCTAAATAGTGGTTTTCAGCTTGATCCTGACTTACCCCAGGAGGTAGCTGGCAAACCCAACAGGATGAGCAGCCATCTGAAGGCACTGGAATGTGGCGTGACACACATGTAATCCTTGAGCTGCCAGTAAATTGCGGTGGGCTCAAGGACAATGGGAGTCAATAGGCTCATTACTAATCCTAAGTGACATCTTGCTGCTGGCCACCGGGAATACTACATCAATCTCTTTTGCCCTCTGTTTAATTTGGGAGGTTTTACAGCTGCTGGGAAACTGAAGAAGGGCCTCTCCCACAGTGAAGTGAGCCTGGCTACCTTGTTTCCTGCTATGATGGGCTACATTAAATCAAGCCCCATGTTTTCATTTTTAGAGATAGCCACAAATCAGGGCCAGAAATATAAAGATAGTTCATAATAAATCCAACAAGAAATTCAAAGGAAGCTTCTTCACTTAGAGAATGATGAGCAACTCCTTACAATATGAATTGCTTGAGGGGCAACAGCACGGATACATTTAAGAAAAATAATTCATAGCTGAAGGAGAAAGGAATAGAATGATATGCTGTTAGGATGAGATGATAGGAGCAGATTAATGTGAAGAATTAGTACAGTACTGGTATGAACTAGGTACATGAATAACTTGTTTTTGATCTATAAAATTCCATGTACTTATAAAACTTAACTCCATGGAGTAAGGCTTCACAAATTTGGTGTAAATATTTTTTTAAAAAAAATCAGGAACTCAGGGTGAAAATTGTTATGCACTAAGCCCACTTTCTATACTTAAAATATCATGCAACAATGGAAATGTTACCACGGAACAAATTGAGAAAGGGACATGATGCCTGCTTTAAATTTCCTTTCCAAAACTGGCTCGTAATAAGCAAAGCATGAGTCTGAGTGTTCATCACATCCTGTGCGGTTGGTTATCAGTGAAAATGCCTCCGGTGAATTTCCACCCCAAGTTGTCTCTCTATCTCACAATCTCTCTCTATTTCATATCAAGTATGTAATTGTGCAACTTCAAAATTCTTCATTTATGCTTGAGTTCACAAAAGAATTACACGGTGACCAGAAAATGACAGATTAATCATCCAGCAAATAAGCATTCCACATACTTGAATCCCTTGAGGGTCATGATACATTTGGAATCATGTTGACAAGCGTTCAGCTCCGGAGCACAGAAGTCCAGTTTCTCTTCACATAGCTCACCTATGACAGAATAAGACAATGCGACAGGTTTATCCCTTGTTGCAGCAATGAGACTTGAACTAAGTGATAAAATAATAGAGGAGGGATCTGAATTATTGCTTGGAAACTGAGCTCTAAATCTTAAGAGAAAAAAAGATGCTCCAACATTCTCCATCATTCTTAAAAGCTGCTGATGGTGTTAACTTGATGAATGGTTTTATTTTGCAGAGCTAAATAGTGAATGTTTTTCTTTGTTGATCTTCCCTAGGTGATTCCTGAAAGCACTCTGTTATTCAATCAGTAAAAAGGATGGATTACACCAAAACCAGAAAATATCAGTACTCGCAATCGACGGGACTGAGGCACAAAACACACTTGGGCTGCTAATTATGTTTATTTTCTCCTGGAGATAAATTTATTTGCATCTTTAAATTTGAATGGTCGATAAATGCAATATTTAACAAAAGGAAATCATACAGGCTTCTGTAGTTTTAAAAGTTCACATGATTTTGTTGGTTTTCACTGTAAATGGTTGAATTTATCACGAAACTATTTATTCAGATTGATCAACACATCTATCATCTTTCCATGTCCTCCACCATTCTCTATGTACAAATTATGAACTTAGGTTGCTCAAAAGCTTTCTAAAGAAAGTCTCTCAAACTCTTCCAAACTTATCTCATAGCACCTTATTTAATGTTGAATGTGAAATCCACATTAGATTCAATGAAGTCATGTTCAGATGACCTACAAAGTTAATAAGATTATTTCATTCAAGCCATTATTAAATTCTCCTCTTTACTAGTGACTCATAAAAACTCAAAACATAATCGTATAAGAACTGAAGAAGTCATCAACCATCCCCTGACACATGCATAGCATAATACATGGTGATAAATTAGTGCACTTAATATGGCTACAAGATTGTATAAAACATACTCAATTCTGGTGGCTAGGTGGTGCAATGGGTGAAAACATTGTTAATTCAGCATGGGACTCACTATCCAATCCAATTCAGACTGTTAGAATAGTAGCAAAGAGTTCTAAGAGTTGAAAGAGAGATGAATTTGTAAGTATAACCTTTCATCGACAATAGTTCACACAAACAAGCTGTAATTTAGCATTAATTGCATAAAATGTCAGTCTCACATACAGAAGGTGTGAATCCTTGTGTGGGACTGGAAATTATGTTGTGGGTGGTATTACTGATGCTTGTATTAGTGCACCAGAATATTCAGCACATAAGGAATGAACATTATGTATCTGGCTTGGTTAAATGTAACTTCTGGGAAGAATCGAAGCAGATAGTGAATTCAATGGTGCAGAGAAATATAGCATTGATCGGACCATTCTAAGCTCAGAAAAGTACTGAAAACCAAAAATTCCAATAGTTATTCCAATTCACTCCCACTGTAACTCAAGAAAGAGTGCATTACAAGGGTCACAAGTTGATTGAGGCATGAATACTTCAGGTCCTGGTTTAAGCTGGAACTGCAGAGAGCCTCATAACAATGGCCAAAGGCCATAAATGAGCAAGGCCAGGGATCACATGCATCAGGTACTCCTAGCCTCTCAGTCATCAAATGAGGTCTAGTTTATCAGTGGTAAGATGCACATGGAACATCAACCACTTCTAAAGTGGAAGCGGACTCACCTGATAGTATATGTTGGAAACAAATTTATGCATTCAATGTTTTCCTAAAACAGTTCTCTTCCAAAGATCTAATCGAGCAAAATTAAGAAATATTTGAATTTCATAGAGTCATAGAGTTGTACAGCATGGAATCAGACCCTTCGGTCCAACTTTTCCACACCGACAAGATATCCTAAATTAATCTAGTCCCATTTGCAGGCATTTGGCCCATGTCCCTCTAAACCTTTCCTATTTATATACCCATCCAGATGTCTATTACATGTTGTAATTGTACCATGAAGCAACATAATGATTCTATACCTCCTGGACAAGACCTTGGACCCCAGCATTACAACTTGCAGTTTTCCCTTTCATGCAGGAGCTTTAGACATGTGTCAAATGCTACAGGCAGCTGCCAGGATATGCAATGAGGTGACCTCTCCCAACCTAGCATACTCCAGTGGGGTATAATCCTGTCTTAATTTTCCAGACTGTTGATTGCAAATTTTTTGGGTCCTGTTCTTTCAGATGTTAAAAAGCCTTATTCCTGTGAGAGACACTTGCAGACTGGTGCAACACACATTTCTAACTTCATGCAAGTATATTATACCAACATCTGTAACATAGCACGCTATTAATCATACCAATAAGATGCTGGAAATAATTCACAGATGAAACACTGGCATTTGAAGAATTTGTAGTCTGTACCTGCCCATGCTTCGGCTTATAAATTGATGCATTCTTCACATAAGCAATAAGATACATTGAGAATATGGATGACACACAATTTAAACTGCTTTTTCTATGTTTGAATACATGTAAAAATATAACCTAAAGTTAAAAATAAAGCTTTGAGGTAGTTGAGGGCCTTGTTGTCTGCAATGCTAATGCAGCACTCAAGCTCTGTGGTGTGGAACTGCTTTAAAGTTGAAAGGCTAAAGAATAAAATTTCTCTTAATGATAATTTTAAAAGAAAATCAGCATGCGCATAAATGGGAAATCCATTTTGTTCACAATCTGAAATAAAATTATCCACAGAAAAACATTTTCCCCTTAAGGTTTAGTCATGCCCTTAGTACATGAATTTTAATGGAAATCCACAGTGATTATTTCACCTGTTGTTGCCAATACGATGTTTCTGTTTCTGCACTAACATTAGAAGCAGATTCTCTGTTCCACAATCAAGAAAAATGTCCTGTAGTTATACACAATGGCTTTTGTGGCTCATTATCTCCCATACATTTTTTATTTGCTGTTAAATTGATGAAACAAGGCCACCCACATCAGGCAGATAATCATGTTTTGATTCCTCCATTTCTCTCTGTCTACTGACAAGAAGGATCTTATTAGGAATTAGTTGAAGCATTCTTTAACGTTTCCTAAACTGTTCATGATGTTGAAGAATTACAGAATTGACATCAGGACTTTGGAAAACATTAGAATCTGTAATTTAATATAAAAAAAAGGAACAGGAGGAGGCCACTCACAATTTCAAAACTGCTCTGCTACTCGATATGATCATGGTTGATCGTTCAACTCAGTATCTTGATCTTGTTCTCCCCATACGTTTCGGTCCCTTTAGACCCAAGAACAATATCTAACTCCTTCTTGAAAACATTCAATGTTTTGGTCTCAATTGCTTTCTATGGGAGAGAATTGACAGGATAACCGCTCTCCGGGTAAAGAAATTTGTTCTCATCTCAGTCCTAAATGGACTTCCCCATGTACATAGACTATGACCCTTGGTTCTTAACTTTGTGATCTTTGGGAACATCCTTCTTGCATTTATCATTACAGAGGAAGTAATAACTAAACATGTTGAAGTTAGGCATACCAACATAAATTTATGAATGACAAACTTAAAAGTTTTTGGTGTTGCCAGAGTTCTCTGGCAATGTTAAAAAAAACATAGATGTGGGGCATTTGGTTTTGATAATGTCATACAGGGGATGTTAGTAAATAAAATCAGTGTACACAGGATTGGGTCAACATACTTGTATGGATTGAGAATGAGTTAATAGAGAGAAACCATAATGAAATAAATACTTTGCTTCTCTCTTTGTGGGGTATGTGGAATATTCCTTGTTCCAGCTCTACTCAGATCACCACCCATATCTCTTTCTCTGATACATTGATGAATTCTTCAGTGTTTCTTCCTGCTCTCATTCAGAATTAGAAAAATTAATCTGTTTTGCTTCCAATTTCCATCCTTCCCTCATCTTCACATGGTCCATCTCTGACTCTTCCCTTGTCTACCTTGATTTCATTAATTCAATTCTGAGGATAGGCTATCCACCAATATCTATTATAAGCCCACTGACTCTCATAATTATCTTCACTATATCTCCTCACTCTGCTTTCTGCAAGGATTCCATTCTATTCTCTCAGTTTCTTCATACCTGTTGCATCTGTTTTGATGATGCCACCTTTCATGAGGATGACTCTGACATGTCCTTTCTCCTCAACCGCAGTTGACATGGCCTTCAGCTGTGTCAAACCCATCTTTTGCACTTCTGTCCTCACCTCTCCCCATCACTCCCGGAACAATATAGTTCCGATTGTCCTCACATTCCAACCCACTAATCTCTGCATTTAAAGGACCATCCTTTGCCATTTCAATCACCTTCCCTCCCCTTCAGTGTTCCTAAGGGACCATTCCCCCATGACATCTTTGTTGAACACCTCTGTAACTTCTAGCAGTTCCCCATCCCCCAGGCAGCTTTCCATGCAATCTCAAAGATGCAAAACTTGTCCACTAATCTTCTCTCTCCTTACCATCCAAGGCCCCAAACACACCTTCTAGATGAAGCAGCATTTCACTTGTACTTCTTTCAAACTAGTCTTTGCTGTTTACAATGCAGTCTCCTTTACACTGGTGAGACCAAACATAGACTGTATGACCACTTTATGGAACACTTTTGATCTGTCCATAGGAATGACCCTGCCCTTCCAGTTTCTCACTATTTCAATAAACACCTTGCTCTCATGCTAACATTCCTGTCCTGAGCTTGTTGCAACGTTTCAATGTAATACAACACAAGCTGGAGGAACAACATCTCATTATCATCTTAGGTACTCAAAGCTCTAGTTCTGAATAATAATTTCAATAACTTCCCAACTTGAATGCATGATGTCTGTTCTCCACTTTTCTTACATTCCCACTCTCCTTGGGAATCATGCTTCACAAATCTACTAGACTTTTCCAAAGTTGTAACTAGTAGAGTGGATAAGGGGAAGCCAGTAAATTTGGTATTTTTGGACTTCCAGCAGGCTTTTAATAAGGTTCCATATGAGATTTGCATGCAAAATTAACATGTATGGGTTTGAGGGATGTGTGCAGGCATGGGTGGACAACTGGATGGCAGACAGGAAACAGAAGGTATGAATA